GGTGCTGCTGAGCCTGGGGGTGCTGAGTCTAGGGCTGCTGAGCCTGGGGGTGCTGGGTCTGGAGCTGCTGAGCCTGGGGTTTCTCCTGCTGCTGCGTCTCGATGGGAGCCCCTCTCTCCACAGGAGCTGCGCGAGTGGTTTGCTCGCCGCTGGAGGCGTGCTGCTGGAGCTGGAGCTTCTTCAACCGTCGAGGGTGCTGGTGCTGCCGGTCCCGGAGCTGCTGGGCCTGCAGGTCCTACTGAAGCTGGCGCTGCTGAGGGTGTTGGTGCTGAGACCACTGCTGTCTGTCCTCGCGGTGGTTCTGCTGCTGGTGCTGCTGGAGGTCCTGCCACTGGAGGTGTTGGTGGCGCTGGTGCTGTCGCTGAGGGTGGTGGTGCTGTCCCTGCTGAGTCTGGAGCTGCCGCGCGGCCTCGGCCGTACTTCGTTCCGCTCCTACAGCAGGTTCTTGGTCTTTCTCCTCCGGTAGGGTGTCCACAGCCTATCCAGTCGCAGTCACTGTTGGAGCCTTCCTCTCCTCTGCCTGCTCCCTCTCCTTACACTGGTCCTACTGGAGGTCTTGCTGAGCGTCGTGAGCCTGCGTCTCGTCCCGCGTCGCGTGTTCGTGCTGCTTGCCCTAGTGGTCGCGGTTCACGTCAGCGTCCTCCTCCTGTCCCTGGCACGCACCGGATGTCTCTGCGTCCGTCCACTGCTCCTCTGCGTGCCCCTTTGCCTTCTCCTCCTGAGTCCTCTCTTCCTGCGCTTGCCGACCCTGAGTCGGACTCTCTTCGTGCTGCCAGTCCTACTGTCACGCGTCTGCTTGCTACTATCGTCACTGACCCCTCTTTTGAGTCCACTGCTACGTCTGCTCTTGTCGCTGAGCTCGTCGACTTTGCTGCTCGCTGTCGTCTAGACTACGCTGCTAGTCTTGTTGCTGAGTCTGCGTCTGTCTGTCCTCCGTCCGTCGGGGGTGAGTGTGCTCTTGGAACGGACGTCCTAGAGGACAGGCAGGAGGAGTTACAGTGTCTGGCTGCTGCTTCACCTCATCTCGCGTCTGTACTGCTTGCTCCTGAGGGAGACCCGGATGCACTAGACATCCCGACTCCGCGCTCTTATGCGGAGGCCGTAGAGGGTCCCTACTCCTCTCAGTGGCAGGCAGCTATGGATGCAGAGATGGCTTCCTGGAAGTCCACAGGCACCTACGTTGACGCAGTTCCCCCTCTGTCAGAATAATATATAAACCTATATATTGTTTTGTAACTGCCTGTAGTGTAGACTACTGTAGTTATATAATGTTCTGTTGTGGTGGTACACCTTTCATCTTGCCTATTTGTACTGCTCGCTCTATAGTGAAACCTCTTTGTTGAAACTTTCTCGACTCTCCTAATTGTACTCACTCGAGCTCGATCTCTACTACTGAACTCACTATGGCTTCTATGCCTTCCTACTAAGAACGTTTCTTCACATGTTATCAGAGTGAGGTTCCTATCCTAGGACCTGATTTTTTTTCCCATGGGCCCACCACTTCTCGTTCCTGCCATGGCGCTCGTCGCGGCCTCCCAAGCACCCGTTCAGCCGCTAGTCGTGACGTCGCGCGTGGCGGGTCTAGGTCTGTTCGTCGCGGCCCCAGTCGGCGGCCCCGTCGTCTGCCCATCGCGCCCTCCTACAACCTCGTCACGCCCGGTCGCAGCCCCGAACGTCTGCATCGACGGTCGCTTTGGGGGGAGACGGCGGGTGTGGCAGCCGAGTTACTTCAGCCGCCGATCGCACCCCCTGCCCCGCCCTCCCGTCGACAATGCGGCTGCTACCGCTGCAGCTCCCTCGCAAGCGACGACGAGCTGTGCGCAGGCGCTCGTCGCGGCACCTGTTGCACCCACCCGTTACTCCCCCTTCCTACCCGACAGCTCACCAACCCCACCCGAGCCCGCTGCCGTTTTCTTCCACTGTGGACGACGGTGTGGAGGGGGGGGAGGGGGAGGCGCGAGGGTGGTTGACGCCCCTCTGTTCGCTACTGCACGTGCAACAGTGTGGGGGGGAGGCTTTGGGGAGGCGGGTGTGAGCAAGAAGCTGCCGCCCCTCCTCTCTCTCTCACTGCCGCACGTGCCGCTGTGGGGGGGGGAGTGAGGGGGCGACGGAAGTCAGCCGGTCATCTGCTGCTGACGCCAGCTGCTGCCGTGGCACCTCCAGCTGCCGCCCCTGCTACCACCTACCTTTTTTTTGTTGTCTCTGTTTTTTGCTACCTTGTGCTGGGGCCTGCAGGTGCTGCCGTCGAGCCGCTGCTGTCCTGCTGCATGTTGCAGCCACAGAGCCTGCTCCTCAGGCGACCTGCCGCCCCACCACCTCCTACTGTTTTTACCTTGGTAAAGGGGTTGTTACAGCTGGATCTGCCATCACTGCACCTGTTGTCACTGCACTTGCCTGTTGCTATGATTTCCGCTGCGGCCTGTTTGGTGTACCCCATTATGGGGGCGTTGACTGCATATTCTTCCCTACAGGCACTTATGGGGGCGTGTCAGAATAATATATAAACCTATATATTGTTTTGTAACTGCCTGTAGTGTAGACTACTGTAGTTATATAATGTTCTGTTGTGGTGGTACACCTTTCATCTTGCCTATTTGTACTGCTCGCTCTATAGTGAAACCTCTTTGTTGAAACTTTCTCGACTCTCCTAATTGTACTCACTCGAGCTCGATCTCTACTACTGAACTCACTATGGCTTCTATGCCTTCCTACTAAGAACGTTTCTTCACACCCTCCTGGGGCGAACATCGTCAGTGGCATGTGGATCTTCCGGGTGAAGCGGCCGCCGGGCTCTCCACCTGTCTTCAAGGCGCGGTACGTTGCTCGTGGCTTCAGTCATCGGCAGGGAGTTGACTAATTTCAGACCTTCTCTCCCACCCCGAAGATGACCACTCTTCGGGTGCTGCTGCACATAGCCGCTCAGCGAGACTACGAGCTTCACTCTCTCGACTTCAGCACTGCGTTCCTGCAGGGTAGCCTGCACGAGGAGATCTGGCTGCGCCGTCCACCTGGCTTCACTGGGACTTTCCCTCCTAGCACCCAGTGGAGCCTCCGACGGCCAGTCTACGGTCTCCGCCAGGCACCGCGTGAGTGGCACGACACACTGAGGACTACACTTGCGGCTCTTGGGTTTGCTCCCTCTACTGCTGACCCGTCGCTGTTTCTGCGCACCGACACGTCACTGCCACCGTTCTACATCCTCGTGTACGTCGACGACTTGGTCTTTGCCACAGCGGACACTGCTGGACTCGCCTACGTGAAGTCTGAGCTTCTGAAGAGACACACGTGCACAGACCTGGGTGAACTGCGCAGCTACCTTTGCTTGCAGATCACTCGGGACAGAGCACGCCGCACCATCACCTTGACTCAGTCACACATGGTGCAGCAGGTCCTTCAGCGCTTCGGCTTCACGTACTCCTCGCCTCAGGCCACTCCTCTGTCTACTCGCCACTCGCTCTCAGCTCTGCCTTCGGATGAGTCCGTAGAGTCGAGTGGCCCGTATGCAGAGCTTGTTGGCTGCCTCATGTACCTGATGACCTGCACTCAACCTGACCTTGCATACCCTCTGAGCATTCTTGCACGCTATGTTGCTCCTGGGAGACACCGACCAGAGCACATGGCTGCAGCGAAGAGGGTATTGCGCTACCTGTGCAGTACGTCGGGCATGGGGCTAGTGCTTGGAGGGCAGAGTCCTGTGGTCCTTACAGGCCACGCGGACGCTTCTTGGGCTGACGACCAGGCTACACAGTGGTCGTCACAGGGTTACACCTTCAGTCTTGGTTCCGGCTCTGTCTCGTGGCGGTCTACTCGTTCGTCTTCGGTTCTCGGCTCGAGTTGTGAGGCTGAGATCTACGCTGGGGCCATGGCTGCACAGGAGCTTCGCTGGCTCACCTACCTGCTGACTGACCTTGGAGAGCCGCCTCGTTCTCCTCCAGTGCTGTACGTAGACAACAAGACCATGCTGGCCTTGTGTCGAGAGCAGCGCTTGGAGCACAGAACGAAGCACATTGCTCTCCGCTACTTCCTTGCTCGTGAGCTGCAGCAGCGTGGTCAGTTGCGACTTGCGTACGTGGCCTCTGAGGCCAACACTGCTGATGTGTTCACCAAGGCACTCGCGCCTTGTGACCATCAGCGCTTTTGCACCCAGCTAGGTCTTGTGCCTGTCTTGCCTCACTTGCTCTCCTCTTGACTTTACTTGTACTGTGACATATATATACCTGCTCCTGCTTGTCTAGTTTTATATATATGCCTGTACTCCTGCATGTGAACTGGCCTCTGGCCCTGCTCTTGTGCTCGGACTGTGTGGTGACTTTGTGATCCACCCTGAGCTTGCTTTGCTTTGCTTTGCTTGACTGGTCTTGTGACCCCTTGTTCTCCCCCACTTTGCCTATGGGGGTGTGTCAGATTATTATTGCTGATGCATGTTTGTAGGCTATAGTGGGGTAGCACATATGGGGTACAGCTTTCTAGGTTTGTATTTGTACCCAACTCTGACTTAGTCATTCCATTCCTGGTCATTTGTTTCACAAGCCTCGCTGCCAGCATAGCACTAGCTAGCTCGCACGCACCGCGTTACCGTTTGCATGTTTGGCGTATAAATGTTCGCTCATGCCTTCGCTCAGATCTTTGTACTCGTTTGACACCTTAGTGCAATTCTCGCTACTTCGATTCATTGCACCCGTAACATTCAATCAGAACGCAAGTTCGGGGACACACCAAAGTTACCAGACTGCTTCGGGCCGAGCGTATCGCACCGTTCGGCACCGAAGGTTACCTCAGGCAAGTTATCGTTACAACATTTTTGTTGAACGATGTACCACAACGTGCACTGTACTATCACTGCTCACAAATGTCTTAGGCACTTGTGCCTACAGCGGAGATAGGCAGCCCACAGAACGACATCAATTCCTGATCGCACTCCACTTCCCCACGTCACCTCCGCTGCCTCCTCTCCTCGCCAAGCCGCACCCTTCCTACTCGCGTCACCGCGTCGCCTCGCCATGCTCGCGGGGCTCACAGCGCGCTACTCGAGGGGAGCCGCGGCCGCGCGCTCCGCCGTCGCGCGATGGTGCGTCTACCGGCTTGAAGCCGGCTGGCTAGCGGCCACCGCCGAGTACCGCACGTCGCGCGGACCGCGTGATTTACCTTTACCTCCCCGTTCCGCGCAAGTCGACCCGATCGGGGTCTGTGGATTATTGTGGCCGCGACCTTGCTTTGTTGATTGGGAGAGTCGTCCCCCTTCCCTTCCTTCCCTCTCCTTCACACTCTTTCCCTGTTCCAGGCTCGCTTTGCTTCCCCTCCCATTCCTTCCTACCCTGTCACTCCTCTGTCTTCCGTGCTCACCGCCCCCAACCCTTTATCACCCTCCCGCACCCACCTCTCATCCCTTCCCACCTCCTCGCACTGCGAACTGACCCGTCTTCGTGTGTACAACCTCATCCCCATTCCCTCCCCTCCTGTGGCACGCTGCTCACTCCCAGTCCCCGTTCCCCTCCCCCTCCCCCTGCCATCGTCCACTCCACCCCTCCTGCCAGGTCTGCCGTCTCAGCAACGCTTCTCCCAACCGCACATGCGCCACCTGCCTCACCCATCCTCCCTCCTCCCGCACCCCCCTCCCTCTCCACACCCACCTCCACCACTCCCCACCCCTCCCCGCCTCTCTCCTCCTCCTCCTCCTCTCCCCACTCCTCCCTCTTCACTCAAACCATCCCCTTCGCCATCCACCCCCTCATCCCCGCGCCTCTCCCCACCACCTCCTCCATCACCCCCACCTCACCCGCCCTCCCCTTAACCCCCACGCGCACCTTCGTGCAGCTGCGCACCAACCTACAAGTCGCCGACAACTCGGGCGCGCGTCGCGTGCAGTGCATCAAAGTCCTGCGCGGGCGCGCGCCCAACGCGGCAGGCCTGGGCGACGTGATCATCGCCTCAGTGAAAGACGCGGAGCCGCGGGGGAAGGTGCGCAAGGGGGAGGTAGTGACGTGCGTGGTGGTGCGCGCCGCCACGCACCACAAGCGCAAGGATGGGACCGAGGTGCGGTTTGACGGCCCGGCGGCTGTGGTGATCAGCAAGGCGGGGGAGCCGGTGGGGACGCGCGTGTTTGGGCCGGTGCCTCATGAGCTGAGGGCGCGCAAGATGCTGAAGCTGCTCACCCTTGCACAGCACGTCATATAAGGGCTAGGTGCGCAAGGGGGACGTGGTGACGTGGAAGATGCTGAAGCTGCTCACTCTCGCACAGCACGTCATATAAGCGCCACATGGCGTGTGTATGAGGACAGCAGCCATTGGTGTAGGAGTGGCACACATTGGGATCATAAAAGTGACGTTTTGATGTGGGCGTGGAGTGGACTCAGCTGGAGCAAGTGGCGGTGAGGAAGATGCAGGTGGGCACTTGCCATTGCTGCGTCCACGTGCAGCAGTGGTGAGGGGGTGATTGTCTGCAAGGGTAGGCAGGGGACTAGAGTGTTTGGACCGGTGCCGCATGAGCTGCGGGCACGCAAGATGCTGAAGCTGCTCACCCTCGCACAGCACGTCATATGAACCGTCACACTGGACAGGGCACACGCTGGGCACCCGCTGGGCACTCGCTGGGCACTCGCTGTGCACATGCTGTGTTATGGATGGCACGCTTTGTGATGGGAGGGTGACAGACATTCTGATGTGGGATGGATTCAGCTGGAGCAAGTGGGGATGTGGAGGAAGATGCAGGGATTGCAGTTGGGCACATGTGATTTCTGCCTCCAGTTAAGGGCAGTAGTGAGGGTGGTTGGAAGAAAAGGCATGCATGTAAGGGGCCCACTCAGCCTGTGAATGGAATGGAGCATTTGTCTGGTGCAAAGTTCCCTTATGGTGTCAATATGTACAATTAGTGATTCAGTGCATCAGAGAACAAGGACGAGTGCGCAGCTCAATCTCCCGCACATACGGAAAATCCACACCGAATCCATCTAAAATATGGATGCTTCATTCGATACCCCCTAACCTACCCTAACTCCGCGAGCACTACATATATCACCCTCCCTGAGCTCAGCCATTGCAGCAGCGCAGCAACAGCCAGTGGCTGAGAGGCAGCACGCCTTGGTGTGGAGCAACGAGACAGGGACACGTGTAGCCACGGGTGCACATGCACACGGCCTCCTCACATCCACTCTTAAGAAGCTCCAGATGAGTACTGTCCCCTCCTCTTCCAGTGCCTCATCTCCTTCCTGCGTGCGCGGCCCCTTGGAGCATGGCCCATGTGAGAAAGGCTACTCCTCGTTAGCGCGCACGTCGAACCCCTCATCGCTGATCACGTTGGGGATGTACAGGCGCGACTCCGCCCACATGCAGTGCCTCATCCCCCCCTATCCCCCCCTCTCCACTCCTCATTGGAGCCCTACTCCTCATTAGCGCGCATGTCAAACTCCTCGTCGCTGATGACGTTGGGGATGTACAGGCGCGACTCCGCCCACATGCAGTGCCTCATCCCCCCCTATCCCCCCCTCTCCACTCCTCATTGGAGCCCTACTCCTCATTAGCGCGCACGTCAAACTCCTCGTCGCTGATGACGTTGGGGATGTACAGGCGCGACCCCGCCAGCACCTGGTCGCCCCGCACCTCGGGGTTCGCACTGCGCAGCGCATCCACTGGCACCTGGGGGGCATGAGGGTACATGGGCGCATGGGGGGCACATGGGTTGTGCATAAAGGGCAGATGTAAGGGGGGGTGTAAAGACGGGAGGTGGCCAGCACCTGGTCGCCCTGCACCTCGGGGTTTGCACTGCGCAGTGCGTCCACTGGGACCTGGGGGGTATGAGGGAGCATGTGGGCACATGGGGACACGTGGAAACGCATGGGGGCACGTGGGGGGCGGAGAGGACGAGCCCGGGGGTTTGGGGGGGGGGAGGAGAAAGAAGGGGGAATGGAGGTGGGGGGGGGGAGATGTGGGGGAGGGGGGTGAGAATTGGTGTGTGAAGGCTGGCAGCACCTGGAGGCGCACACCTAACCGAGTTGGCAGGGTGGAGGGGATTTGGAGGTACCTGGAGGCATGTGGAGGGAAGCAGGCGTGCATGGCCCTGCCCTGGATGGTGGGCGCGTGAGAGAGATTGGTGTGGAGGGGAGACGAGGGGCTGCACGCATCGATAGCAAAGGACAGGAAGGATGGCAACGCGGAGCGTAAAGAGGGGAGCAACACGAGAGGGGAATGCTGAGAGCGCAAAGAGAGCTGGCATAAGCCCGCCCCTCACCTGGTGCTTGTGCGCCAGGCCCCAGAGCGTGTCGCCCTTGTGCACCTTGACCGTCATGTCCGGATCCACCCATGCGGGAAGGGATGGCGACGCCGAGAGCGAGGAGGGGAGCATCACAAGGGGAAGGCTGAGCCTGAGAGTGCAGAGACAGCTGACGTGGACCGCCCCTCACCTGGTACTTGTGCGCCAGGCCCCACAGCGTGTCCCCTTTGTGCACCTTGACTGTCATGTCCGGATCCACCACTAGCGCCTGCACATGCCGCCTCACCTTGGCCTGTGATGGGGTTTGGGGTGTTGGGGACACACATGACGGCATGCTCACATGCCAGCATGGACTCATGCAAATGAACGGATGCACGCAAAGGCACACAGGCAACACCCACATATGCATGCATGCACACATGCGCACATGCATGCGTGCGTCTCCCTCTCGCACGCACACCAGCCAACACATAGGTGCACAAGGTATGGGAGTGGCTCGGCTCATAACACGCTAAGCCTTCATCGCTGAGGGAGAGAGTGGAAAGGCAAGGTGAGCGGGATGAGGCAAGGCGAGGGGAGAGAGGAAGTTGTGCAGAAGGCATGGAGAGCACTGCGCGACTCAGCTAGTGGCTGCGCGAGCAGCTCTTCACTTGCACATGCACGTCGCCCTGCTATTGCCATCACCATCGCCATCACTGTCACCATCGCCATCACTGTCACCATCGCCATCACTGTCACCATCGCCATCACCACCTCATCACGATCAACCCTACCCCCATCTATCACCCCCAGATAAACCCCTCTCACTCCACGTCTCACCACCAGCGATCTAACAGGAGTCCCAGCCTCACCTTCCCTTTCCCCCTGTGTGCCTTCGCGCCTTCCTCCCCCTTCGCCCCCATCAGGTACTTCACTCACAGCCCCACCACCACCGGCGAACTGCCTGACATCCCCGTCTCACCTTCACTTTCCCCTTGTGTGCTTGCTGCGCCCCTCCCTTCCCCTTCCGCCCCATCCATTACCCAGAGATTAACCCTTTTACCTCCACGCCTCATCCCTTGCGTCCCGCCTCACCTTCCCTTTCCCCTTGTGCGTCTGCGCGCCTTCCTCCCCCTTCCCCTCCATCAGGTACTTCACTCCCAGCCCCACCGCCACCGCCGCGCCCCCCACGATCATCGCGCCCTGCCACAGCGGCTCCCGCCACCACTCCCCCTCGCCGCCCTCACCCTCCCCCGCGCTCATCCCGCGCCCCTTTCCGCCTCCCCCCGCCGCCTTGCCCGAGTCCCGCGCGGCCATCTCAGCCGGTTTACCCGTCCGCGTCGGCGTCTGTTATCGAGGTTGCGGAGAGCTGCTTTGAAGCCGCTTCGGGCAAATCGGACTCGAATTTGAGTTTTGCGACGGCCGCGGCTGCGAGGTCGTGGCGGTGGCGGAACGCGAAGGGCTTAACGCGCGCGGAAGCTCGAGCGTGCGCACGCGGATGGCGGCGGCAAGAAGCGTGAGGCGCGCAGGTCACGGCGGCGGCCGCTGATGCGGGTAGACACGCTGGCAAATCGCGGGAAGGCGCGATATTTTGGCGTAGTGAGCGGGGTAGGGGGACACGGAAAGTAGTGTACTGAAAAACGCGAGAGCGAGCGAGAGGACGGAAGAAGGGGCTGCGTGGAGAATCGGGGATTAGAGAAGCTCGGTTGCGAGAGGATGGAAGAACGGTGAAAAGATGCCGCCGCTGGAGACTCAGAAGGTGGACGGATGAATTGGTTGAAGCGGCGGGTGGTGCAAACGTTGGCGCTGATGATGGCGTTGGGGGAAGAGCGAGGTGGCGGACGGGAGGGAAGAGCACGGGGAGCACGGGGAGCACGGAGAGCACGGGGAGCGCGGGGAGCGCGGGGACCACTGGGAGCACGGGGAGCATGAGAACGAGATCTCACAGCGGCCTCGAGAGTAGCTCCACCGCGCGAGGTGGCGTCGTTTCTAAGCTCACGGCCGGTCGCTGGTGGATACAAACGGATCGTCCATTGGAAGACGCTCGCGGCGCCACACGCCGACCATGCAGGGCAGCTCTTGTGGGCCAGCTGTCAGCTGTCTGTTGTCGTGTCGGCTGCTGGCTGCCACTCCCCATAAGCTTGTGCTGTCAAACAAAAATGCTTTATAACTGCCTTACGTCTGAGCATATACGAGATTTTATTGGGATAACATCTATAAGGAATTTTAGTGATACAATTGGTACATCTTTTATCTGAAGAACCATTTCAATATGTACTGTAAATAAATGATTACACCATTTTCCTAAGCTTTCCGCAGAGTGCCTGAACGTGTGTCTCATACCCAATTCTTGCAAAGAGGCCATCACACAGTGCACTTTTAATGATACTTCGGGTCTCAGCCAGAGTCGAAAATATTTTTTCATCTGAAATTAGGAAACTGTAGCGCTTGTCGCGGGGCTTGTCACTGGTGATGTTTCTCACAACTTGACCCACTTGGCCTAGTTCAGTGGCAGCGCAAGAAGCTACGGCGGTGAATGTAGGCTCCTTTCCCCCAGATCTGAGATGCAGGATTTCAAAATAATAAGTATATTAGTATGACGTCGGTGAGTACCTTCCGTGATAGAGGGATAGAGGGCGAGGGATGGAGGGGACATTGTCAAACTTATATGCTATAGTCTGTGTAGGCTGTAGTGGGGTCAGGCCCTCATATTGGTTTGAGGGTATGCTGATGGATCAGCGTGCCCCTGCCAACCAGGTGTCCAAATCAGCGTTGGTGGTTTTCAATATACTGATCCTGTCAGGGTAAAAATTTCCACTGTACTGATCCTTCAGTGTAAAAAAGTCCAAAACAAATATACCTAACCTAACCTACCTAACTAGTACTACTAGAGAACTAGCTCATGTCATCATCTGAAGAAGAAACGCTACTGCTACTGCTGCCATCATCATCACTCTCACTGTCATCGCCTGCAGAACCACTCATGCCC